CCTGAGACGCTAATACTCTTGTGTAGTTAAAGCAGCGAGAGAAGTAGAAACATGGGCTGCGCCCGCTCCACCTTTTGCCAATATTCCTTCTGACATTGCATTCGGTGAAATTGGATAAAAACCGAGGTTAACTCGTAAACTCCTTATATTGACACCGATCGCATAAAGTTTTCCAAATTCGGGTAATGCGCTTGACATCAGACGCCGTCTGTGAGAGGAACCTGCCTCAGGTTTGTTTGGACTTCGCTTATTTTAAAAAGAGACAGTATCCCAATTACTGCTGGAAGATCAATTAAATGTTGCCTCGAAATCTCTTTCAAAAATTAAGTCTCTCGCATTTAGGTGCTACAAAAGTCCTGAGTTGTCGAAAAAGCCTTCTCGTCAACTTGCTACGAAAATCCTCTTCCTGTTCTATTTCTCTGCTATGTATGGTCACAGTTAAGTGCAACGCGGATGGTAGCATAAACCGTAAATTTCTTTTTACCAAATAAAAATCGATGCGTTTCGAAAGTGTGTATTTAGACGTAAAGCGACAGGATAAGTAAGCTTTATGCGAGCAAGAGTTTGTCGAAGGCGAAATGCATACCAATTTTCAGAGGAGTTAAAGCAGAGGAAGAAGCAGACAAAACTTGCAAATCGAATAGGTCCAGCACTATGCTTGGGAGGAAGTGGTGATGCATCGTGAAGACATGACGCCCAGGATGGCTACCGTCAGGCCAAAGGCAGCGCTCGCCACTGCAAGGAAGTAAGACCAGTGGTTGTGCGTTTCCGCTGTGTAGACAATTACTGCAACCAATAGGAGCGCCGCGCCCAGATACAGCAGGATAAATCGGACAACATGGGCCGGACCGGAGAGCTGCTTGGAGCAGAGAGACACCACGTCGAGTATGAAGACAACGGTCAGGCAGACGAGGCCGATTACTAACAGAGCCGCCACGGATATCATCGCGTCCCTCTCATTGGCACCTTCCTTGATGCAGTCCTCAAAGAGACCTACGCAGTCCCAGTTCGGTGTTGCCAGGCCCACTATCAGGGTGACTATTGTCAGAGCCAGCAGCGCAGAAGTTACTCTTCGCAGATCCATGATGCCACGATGGTAACGGATGACAGCAGTTCGAAGAGTGGAATGGCATGGTGCTGGCAGGTAGTCCAACAGTTAGCATCGCCTGTAGCCAATCAGGTCTGACTAAGGCAAAGGCATTGATCGTATGCGTGTGTTTATGAGGTCAGATTCCGTTTGGTTGGTCACGCAGTTACCCTGGCCGTCGAAATGTGGGAGCCGGCGGGGGTGGGATGGGTGACCTCTGACGAGCGACATGTTCCGTGCTAGAGACGTTCGCAGGGCGCGGACACCCAGAGAAGAGCCAGAAAGTTGAACGGGGCAGGGCAGTCGGGTAGGTGACCTCACGCAGCGCCTACCAAGCTCGAAGGGGACAGCAGGTACTTCGACTAGTTGGTTGCATCGCCTTCTTTATGACCGATGCCCCGCCACAGCAACTATTGGTCCCTGTAGGAACTGTGATGAGCAAAGCTCATGGTTTCGCGTCAATCTGATTGCATATTCTTGATTGCGGTCGGCTTTGCAACTTAGTGACTCGATTTAGATTTCTAAAATTTTGGGGCATACTATCACAACAGATCTTCCCTTTGCAGGTCCTTTTCTGGAAAAGTTAGTTTATGAAAAAACGACAAATACAAAGCAAACTGCATTTTACCTCCAACTAGATAAAATGACTGCTTTCGGCTGTTGTCAGCGGAAGTAAAAATTCTCGAATGAGCAAGGAAGCTATGGCAGTAACACCAATTCCACTGCCTGTTTACTGTGCATTTTTGCGTCATTTTAAAATGTACCGCATACGTGTCTACGGAAGTATCCTCTAAGTTCGAAACCCGGAGCCATAAATGCGGGAAGGAGTCTAATGGCTGCAAGCGGACAGTTTTTGCTACTTATTCATTAAACACGATTAGATAGAATGACGGTCGGGGACTGAATTAATTTTATTCTGAAAGCCCTTTCAACTCTATATTTGGCTTCTTTTAGAATCTCATGCAAAGGTGTTTTTCTTTAACTTTGTACTGCACATCCGAATAACTTAAAATGTGCTCTCGTCATCTCCCATTCTTGCTCCCAATTCCAGATAGTTGCATCCGACATTATAGCCTGTTTATTTAGATTATTACTTCCAATCTGCTCCTGTATCTTTGTACACTGAGCTGACGACCTTAAACTCTGTCATAAATGTCAACTTCTGATATTTTTTTCCAATGCACAGTCTATTCGGTGCGACAACAGGATGCTGTCGGAAACTTGTGTTTTTGTTTCTGACCAAAGGCGTTCGGTGCATCCGTTTCCTCTTTTCTCTGATTAGTAAGTAAATTAGAGCCTTGCACTAGAATAAGATCAGTAATAAAAAATACGCGTCTTCGTTTAAGTTATACAGGAAATACCAATTGAAAGGCTGATGATAATTATGTTCACTGTGGTGTAAAACTGGGAATTACGTGTCTCGTCTGTGCAGACAATCTCTATCACAGGGAGGAATGCGACATTTATGACGACCAGAAGAAATTAAGCAGAATGGATTGTACTGGACAGCTGCTCAGCGACTGCCAGTCCCCCACCCCCACTCCCAATGCACCGTTTAAGTTGGCGCTGGCGCGTCAGCTGATGATTCGCAATGAAGTTGCGGATATTCGTGTGACCTTATGTAGGAGGAAAGTAGTTACTAAGTCGTAGAGACGAATGTAAAATTGCCGATGTTGTGAGAACTGCGGAGAAACAAAGGACCATGCTGTTGGATTGAAACACCTCTGACCGACGTTAAGAATAAATGCCCAATCGAACAATCTTCTTTATCGGTGCATGCAAATACGAGACGGGGGATGAAACCGCACGGGATCCAAACTTTGCATGTGTCTTCTTTCGTCAAGAACACATTTGAGGACGTCAGCAGACTTCTAACGCAACTCCAGTCCGGGGCTGCAGGCAAACGGAAGATAAATATCAGGCTCCAATGGAGAAAGCCGAGAGGCCAATTGACACTATGAGAGGCGAGAGAAGGACCCCAGTTACCTGTCAGTAGAGGGTGGATTGTGTCATGTGGGGTCTTAGCTTGGCATACATTTGTAGGCTGTTGCAAAAATCACACTGCCAACAACGATTACTTCCCACGAACTCATATCTTAACTCAGAATCCGGTATTTTATGAAATTTGCTTTTTGTTTATTGTTTAATTACTACTCTCATTTCCGTTGTCGTATAAAGACAAACGATAATAAATCCGGGCAATTGCTGTGAGTTATATCATTTCGTCAGCTTGCTGCCTAGCGTGCTGACCCATCCATAAAACTCCCTTTGCCGAAAATCACGTATGGCGCGATCCGCAGTCTACTGACAGTTAAGTGGGGTCCTTCTCCATACCGTTGCCCTATGAGAAACGTTTGGGGTCGCTTACCGGCATCTGGTGCAGCCACTGCAAGGATAGGCGCGTCAACGAATCAGGGAAATTATTATGGACGCGGATAGCCGAGCACGCATCGGCAGTGGGGACGAATAATGCAAAATCTGGAGTTACGTCTCACTCAAGGGGAACAAGTCCCGCCTTCAAGTACAACGAAGTCGCAATCCCCACAAGAGGCGCAACCTAGTGAGTCACGAATTGCTGGGGCCATGGTTATCCAACCCGTCGTCCATTAACAAATGCCATTCTCTCCTCCCTCCCCGCTCAATGCTAAGTCATTGTTCGGGCAGAGTACTTGGTCACGAAAGTAGCGATCAGGTGAGGTCTTGCTCTAGTGACAGCAATTGTGAACTGAAATTCCAGGTCATTATCACACCGACCACCACTGCTGGTTGTGAAAACGCGGACAGTAATGACGCCTCGGCATGACTCAGCCACGCCTGCCCCCCGGACGAACATCTGCGATGATTCCCGAAACTGTTCATTTTATTACATGTACTGTGGCGTAGTAGCTGCATCCCATCCTCGTCCGCTATCCTTCTTTTTTGCCGTCTAAGCCGATAAGTTCACGTGTCGATTCGAAAAGTCAGACGACAAAAGTCAGTGTCAGTTACTGAGGCTCCTTCGCCTCGATTGCTTCCGTATTCGCGTACTGGCAAGAAGTCCAGGTGTCCATGGACAAGCTGGCCCCCTCTATCGAACAATTTGGAAGGCTTAACAAGAATGACAAGGACTTCGTATAGCGGGAATCACGGGCACGAAACTCCAGGCTAAAACGGATGTTATGCCACAACGCGTGGCTCTGTAGGCAGATTATTTCCTTTTGAGGGAACACCCCGAAAGCAGGATCTCGCCGCCTATTGAAGCCGTTTGCTCAGTCTCAACTGTCACGATTAGTCCATCGCACATCTTACCTTTCAGTAGTCCTTTAACCGTGATGTCATCTGGCCAGGTTTCTTAGGACGCAGTGCTTAAATTTTTAACTGCATAGTCCGGAAATAATCACAGGCACTGTCGGTCGGCGAACTAAACCTCGGATTAGTTAACCTTATCTGGGGGGCAGACTGAACTTTGCTGTTTGACCCCCACTGTCATAGATAATGAGACGGTGTGCTGTTAGCGCTCTGAGACTTCTTTGTGGAACCTTATTAGGGAAACCGAAACCCTATAATAAGGCCCTTTCGCAACTCATCCCAATCCTCTTGGGACTTACTGGATAGGAGATACAGTAGGTGGACTAACTCATGAAATGTCAACCGAAATTCCGAAAGACGTTCTCGTTTTGAAAAAAAATTAATTAAGTAGGGTTGTAAAACTAGTCAGCCTACAACATAATTCTATAATAATTCAGTTACTTCAGAATGCCGGCATTCGAACGAACTACCTACTGGCTGTATGCAAAAACCACACTCTGCAAAAAATGACTACTCAATTAGCATGAATTTTTCTCATTAATTTTCGATGCGCCTAAAAGTCCAATTATATTTCGTGGAAAAAATGCATAAAAATATTCATGCCTTCGCTCATTCGGCAGATAACCACGTCTTCCTCTAAATGTACACTCTAAGGAGGGACATAATTTGGTTTTAAAAAAAGTTTCTTATTGTGAAATGGTAGTTCATAAATCGTCATGTCTCTGCATTTGCCAATGTGACTTATAAAGTTAACAATATAGATCAAATCAACTGCTAACTTTTATGAACTCTTTATGGTCCCCCTTTATTATCTTAGAGAAATGTGTGGTTGTTCTTACGCGGAAAATATACAGCTTGTAGTTTGGAAACCCTGAATCCAAGTGTAACGGTACTGTGGGTTCAAAATTATTCGGGAAAGGGAAAAAATTTTGAAAGCCAAATTCTACCCTTCCTTCGAGTATACAATTGGGAGAATACGTAATTATCTACCGAATGAGCAAAAGAACGATATTTTTATTAATGTTTTCCATTAAATATAATTGGACTTTTAGGCGCATCGAAAATCAATGAGAAAAATTCATGCTAATTGAGTAGTCATTTTTTGCCGAATGTGGTTTTTGCATGCAGCCAGTAGGTAGTTCGTTCGAATGCCGGCATTCTGAAGTAACTGAATTATTATAGAATTATGTTGTAGGCTGATTAGTTTTACAACCCTACTTAATTAATTTTTTTCAAAACGAGAACGTATTTCGGAATTTCGGTTGACATTTCATGAGTTAGCCCGCCTACTATACAATAAAAACCAGTCCTCGGGCTGGATGAAGCGAGGAATATTCGCTAACATGGCGTAGCATCCAACCTGTTGATGATCCTGAATTGCCTTACACGGAGACGTTTCCGTTCTTCCTCCTCCGTTCTCCGCTGACTTGATCGATTGTAATCTCTTATCGTACTCGCATCTGGTAACAGTCATTCCGATTGCCACATTTTCCGTCAATGTTTTTGCCTCTGTCATTAGTATTGCGCTGGAACTCCACGCTCCATTCCAATATCTACTCAGATTATGAAAGTATGTTCTCTAGGTAAAGCTGATGAGTTCGAGTGCAAATCCAAAAAGCCAGACGATAAAGGTTCCAACGTCTGCTATCGAGGCTATTTCCCCTGATTGCTCCCGTATTTGCGCATTGACAAGAAGCCGTGAAAAATGG